GGGGGGGGGGGGGGGGGGGGGGGGGCCCCCCCCGGGGGGGGGGGGGGGCGGGGGGGGGGGGGGGGGGGTTTCCCCCCCCCCCCCGGGGGGGGGGGGGGGGGGGGGGGGCCCCCCCCCCCCCCCCCCCCCCCCCCGGGGGGGGGGGGGGCCCCCCCCCCCCCCCCCCCCCCCCCCGGGGGGGGGGGGGGGGCGGCCCCCCCCCCCCCCCCCCCCCCGGGGGGGCGCGGGGGGGGGCCCCCGGGCCCCCCCCCCCGGGGGGGGGGGGGGGGGGGGGGGGGGGGGGAGACCCCCCCCCCGGGGGTTTTTCCCACGGGGGGGGGGGGGGTCGCCACGTCCCGACGCCTAAATTTGACGCCTTTTTTGTTTACATATTTTTAATTACCGATATGCGTGTATTATGCTATGTATAATAACATTTAATTTATTATCCACTAAAACATAATATTGAATAAGCCTAAACAGGGTTATTCAAAATAATGACGGCTGACCTCTAAGCCGTAGAAAACTGGGCTCATATGGTCAAATAATAGTACTTTTTTATTTATTTATTTTAGACATTATAATACCACTGTGGTTTGTATAGATGTAACCATAGTAGCCTTGTTTAGGAGCGCGACGAATGCATATAAAAGTAGTTGAGCCGCGGTTGCAAATACCTCAAAGTTCTCCTGCCAACTTAGCGCTAAGCATCGTCTCTGAATATCATAAGCTATGAATACAATAAAAAACAACTTACTCCATACCGCTGGAACCTTCAAGAGAACATATTAGATGTATTTATTAAGAGAACAACTAGACTACGGCTCAATTGCCTGTAGTAATAATAAACTGTTGATTTATAAAAACTATGGCAAGGGCTGGGTCAAAACGAAAATCTATGATACAACATATAAATGTTTTTTTTTTTATAATTTAAGTTCAAAATTAGCGAGCGTGTTAAGGTTTTTAGGGGCTGTAAAACCGTTACATTTGTGCAGCACTTGCAATACCCAGCGGCGTTTCGTGATAACATCTCTGGTTGCATCTGCCGGAGCGGACATATGCAGGGGTTGGGGTTCGATTCCGGTGCTTTGTCTGCTCTGAGAACCCGCTTTGATTGGTTTATGATTTGATTTTGTTTATTTATATACAGAATTGTTTATTTAATCACATGATGGCCGTTATCATTGGTTGTCGAAATGTAAATTAATTTGTAACATGAATATGTATGGAAAAATAGTTTCTTAGACGTCCTTTATTATATATACTTATTCATGCAGGAATTATGTTACTATAAAATTTTCTACTTTATTCCAAATTAAAGCTCTATACTTTGTGTTTATGTCATCGTGTTTGCCAATACAATGTAATATTGTAAAGTACATTAATTATATAGAACAAATGCCCAGTCATTTCGTAGAACGTAAGTATTCTATATAATTATATATGTATATCTTTTAATCGAAGGTTGTCCTATACCTAACAAGAATGGCTTTATAATTCAATACAATCAATATTCTATCTAACACAATAGCCTAAACTTGTGCGCTAATGAATAAAAAGCTCACCCCGTACCACGATATCTTATAATATCAAGTAAGCGATACGAATATTTTTATATATCTCGCTGCCGCAGCGACTCTACAGAGCCTTGGCCTACGAAACAAGAGAATGCTACCTTCACACAGTCCTTTGCTTGGAATAATACTATTAAATATCAATTATTTAGTTGTTGAGAAACTAATTGAGACATTTAATCTATTTTATTTGTGTATATATTATCATAGGTTAGTGTATGTATATGTTAATTGTAGTGTAAGTAATATATTACTTTGTGAAATTCACGCTGTTTTAAAATGTATTATTAGTGTCGCATTATTTGACGTCGCAGCGATCATGGTAGGGGGCAGGTAGGCCATGTGGCTAGATGGCGCGATAAGGAGAATTATTCATACGCTATCGTGCCATCAGTAGTGGTATTGTGAACGAAGGGCGGCTGCCGGTCGTCGATGTCAAAACGTTGTGCGGCCTATGTCTGCAATTATTGTTTTCGTGTCAGCAGATTTAAGAGTTTGAGTCAGGGGAAGGGGATTGGATTTTGACGTGATCTTTTAATATGTATATTAAAGCTTTTAATGCGTTTTATTTAGAACGCCGTAATTAATTAATTTTTCTTTATTCGGAATGTAGGAACCTAATTAATAATAATAATTAGTTTATCGTATTTATGTATGAATATGTATGTTAAAATCGTAACTTAGGCTGAGCTTTAAGCTCAATCTCATTAATTTTTTTCTTTATTTGGAATATAATACCCATATCCAAAATTTATATTTAAGAAAATTAGTTTTGATAGGTCTTACAGTCGTACCTACTTAGATCTAGTGGCGATAATAAGCTCTAAGTAACACTTCCGTATGTTAAAATCGTAAGTTAGGCTGAGCTTTAAGCTCAATCTCATTAAGTATTGTAAACACATTCACTAATGAATTTTGAGCCCAGTTACCATACCGGGTGCACTGATAAATATCACTTATCTCCCGGTCAGATCAACACCTGGGTAGGATCGATGCGGGCAAGGGTTAAAAAACTACTGTGTTTGGTTATTCTGTATGCTTTTATTATTATTACAGATCTATATTATTGTAGATATTAATGACAATTTTGTGAAGGTAACAATTTTTTAAAATTGTTATATGCATTTTATTTATTATTATGCATAATGTCGCCAGTATTAAATTTGTTTTGGCATTGTTTTTACTGAAGTTTATATTTATATTATTTTAGGCTTTGTATAAAATATATACAACAGCCTCACATTTTCAACTGTAATTCGGTTCAAGCCTTCGATGGAATATCCAACACAAAATAAGGTCTGGATTAGAACCAGACCAGAACCAGAGTGGTTTCTTAAACTAAACAAACTCTTCTTTAAATACAGATTCCCAAATATATAAACCACAATTCACTTATATACCAGTTTTCTTTATTGAATTTTACCCACAATTACAAATATTACTACTAACCCGTAGTGCAAGGGACGTACCCTTCGCATAGTTAACCAATCGTCACACAGCACATATGTTTGTGTTTTAAATAATAATTGTGAATTGAAAGGGGAGTGAATGTACATATGCTAGCTATCGGACAAATTATTTGCTGAATCATATTTGCTGTGGGACGATGTAAGTAAACATTGATTGATGGTCTTCAATATTTTAATTACATTGATAGTAAAAACAGAATTTTGGTATTATTTATTTTAAATAGAAACAAATTGATACGAATGTATATTATTAAGTTAATTACTTGTATTGTTTATGTTGTTACTATAGATAGATCACCGTTACTTACATATAATTATGAAATCAATGTACCTATACAAAATGTTGTAAAGACTATTTTAAAAGAGTAAATATGGAGTTTCTTGGCCATTCTTCACCATATGAAACTACGTTTTGAAAGGGGCACCTAGAGTTATTGTCTTTAAAATATATTTTCAACTTGTGATTTTGACTTTCAAGTACCTAATTGAAATAAATGATTTGACTTTGATTTTGAAAACGAATGTAATGTTGTTGTTATTTAGTATTCCCGGAAAATAACAATTTGAGTTGAGGGGTATATATGACCGAGATATATGTTTCATTATACGCTTTATTATTAAATAATATCTTTATCTGTCTTCTAAACTTGTTTCTATGGAATCGTATGGGAGACCTCCAGGTTACTGCAACTAAACCACTCGTAAAAGTCAAGTAAAATAGTTCTTATAACTTAGCAATGTTAACATTCAAGTGTTTCCCTCTAGTATTACATTATATTTATATATTTACGTAGCTGTAAAACGTAAACAAATCACTCATGTATATAATTAAACTGACAGAATAGTTATTAAATTAACGAAACTTCCGTCTTAATTGCCCTTTGTTGCCGCGTTTGAGAAAACAGAGGCTTTGTTAATGCCGCGGTATGACTTGACATTTCTTTCACAGTTTTATCTAATACCCATTACAATTTATTAAAATATAATTTCGAAAATCTTCATTATCTCTTGAGAATTGTTGGAGACAATACTATCCTATTTTCTATCTCTATAATTAGAACTCATTAGCCCTTGTTAATATAAACTTTCAAAAACCCTGTTAACCAGTGTCAAACAGTTCAACAATTTAATGTCTTAAAATAAGACGTCTAAGAAACTAAACAGCTTGAAAATACAAAGTCCCGACGACCTAAAATCTCATTTTACTGTAGTTACCTAATGAATAGACATTACAGTTGTATTTCTAAAAAACATTATGTAAATCTTTGATTAGTTAAAGAGTGATTCAAGCAAGCACGAGACTAGATCGGCCTAGTTCAAGTTACTTAAATCTTTATTTAATGACTTAAATAACTGTTAACACCTAATGACTCTGAGTACAGCTCATAAAGCAATGAAAACTTATAATTTTCCATTACAATCATGTTTTGACTAATTAAAATATCTTTTCTAGGTCGGACATTAGGTAGTGGTAGTGGTCAAGTGTGCAGGCCGCACTTCCACACGCCTCTGCATCCGTGGCTGGACTCCAAAGCACTCGGAAGCGGCGCGTGGGGCAGCGGCTTCCAGCAGGACGGCGCCGCAGAGAAACCTCTCTCCCCCGCACAGCATCCACACCCTCACCCCCTCTTTTCATTCCCTCCCACCCCTCCTAAAGACTCAACGCCGGACTCCGTAGCGGCTGCGGCGCTCGGCCAGCAGGATTACCAGGCGGCCGTTGCCCACGCTACGGCGATGAGCGTGGCGTTCATGCAACAGCAGCAAGAGCTTCCTCTGTGCGGCGACGTCAAGCCCATGATGGGCGCACCGTCGAAGCAACGCGAAGGTGCGCAGCCAGACACGTGTCCTCAGGAGAGTCAGCCCTCTGGGGAGTACAACGCGCAATACAACGCGGACTACTACAACTACCAGGGGAAGGGTTATAATGGGCAGCAGCAAAACAAACCGCGGCCGAACAAGACGCGTACGAGCGCCGGTGAGTTCGCGCGAATGCTCACAATGCACTCGCTCGCTCGCACTTCATACACGATTATCCAATACATCAGAACAATTAAATTAAAAAAGTTCTTCGAGAACATCTAAATTCCTTATCAGTTGTATGAAAACCCAAGTAGAGATTTAATGATAAACATTTATGTTAAAGATGATTGGATAATCGTATTGCACCGGGATAATTTCACGTGTTCACTAACTGTCACTGGTGTTCTGGTGCTAAATAACGCTTTTTACTAAACTTATATAAACGATAAAGTTACCATGGCAATGCAGTAATCCGAACGGTTTGGGATTTGTTGCTATGACAACCAATTGATATCGTAATACGATTTCAGGGCTAGCGGTTGAGGGTAATTTTAAAAGGTGTTGGGATTAGAATAATTGAATCATGCGTAATATTCTTCGGTCAAACAGTTCAGCAAAAGAATATTCGTTTACAATATTCTTCATATATCCAAAATGATTGGCAAAGTAATAATAAAAACTTATTTTTGAATTGAAATACCATTGGTTTATGTGGTTTCAGAGTCGAGACATAGCTAGTACATACCTCTATATGTCAAATAATTTTTGCATACGGGAATCATAGTTTATTTTTATTTTACAGAAATATATTAGGTAAATCATGATATGTTGCATTAGAAAACCACTGTGGTTTGTATAGGTAAATGTAACCATAGCAGTCTTGTTAAGGAGCCCAAAAAAAAATCAGTGGCGCTACAACCTCTTTAGGTCTGGACCTCAGATTTCTGAATCTGTTTCATGATTATTTTTCAATCAAGGCAAGTAGGTAATCAGCCTCCAGTGCCTGACACACGCTGTCGACTTTTTGGGTCTAAGACATGTCAGTTTCCTCACGATGTTTTCCTTCACCGTTCGAGCAAATGTTAAATGCGCACATAGAAAGAAAGTCCATTGGTGCACAGCCGGGGATCGAACCTACGACCTCAGGGATGAGAGTCGCACGCTGATGCCACTAGGCCAACACTGGTTAAGGAGCACAACAAATGCATATAAAAGTAGTTTTTCAATTTACCTTTTAAGTTGATTAACGTTAGGCTATCTAATAACTGACCTGGTAGTCCATTTATTAGCCGCGGTTGCAAATACCTCAACGTTCTCTCGCCATACTGCTAAGCCTCGTCTCTGATTCTCATTATAAGCTTTGTGCTCTTTGAAGAATATCAGAAAAAGCAACTCAGTCCTTCATACAAAATTTCCGTTGGATCGTTCATCAGAACATATTAGATTTATTTCTGTGAGAAGAACCATAACGATTGCAATGGCCTTCCCGCATTTAAATAGATACTCTCATAACAAATAAAGCGATTACTTAATAATAATGTAACATAGTAATAAAGATAAAAAAGTTACATAAAATTTAGGCAATTACTTTAGTTAATTCAGTATTTTTCGTATTTATACGCGGCCGCATTGTTTGAATGTGACATGTGAACTTCTAAAGTTTAGTTTCTCATTACTTAATTGCTGATTCTATTGTTGGTTTCTAGTTTAATTTTTCAGAATTATTTTCGAAATCGTGATGAAATGTACCTAAATTTATTTACTTAAGTAAGCAAGATCGCTTTATTGACTTATATGAAAGAATATATGCTATATGTCACTTTTAATATGTCCGTATTTAAACACATCCAAATAAAAATTATACACGATAAAATAATTAAATAGAACATGAACACAGGTTATTATATCAAAAATCCAAATGAATTTAAATAACCATTTATTGGAGATATAAAAAACGACTTCCGCGGATTTATTAATGACAACTGGGACCTTTATTTATTTATTAAACAAATAACGTACCATTATAGGTAACGTAGTATTAAAAACGATTGCCTCAAAAATATACACACACATAAGAAACTTACCTATACACACACATGTAAGTCACGTATCTATTCTACCATAACAATAATATACTGTTAATAAAATAATAAAGAACTTGCCTATTATAACGAGTATTTTTCCGCATCTTAAAGCATTATTCAAATAATTCATATAACAATTAAGGCTATACATATCAACGACCTTAAAACATAATGTGCCCATTGTTCATTTGCCGTTTTCGCAATTATGTATAAAGCGAGAATTACTTAAACGTAAATTGTCCAAAATCCTATTTTTAATAAAAGGTTTCGATGCCTTGGTAGGTAGTCAGCGACAGTCAAAATATCAATGACATCGAGAGGCTGGGTTTGTTTATTTCTATTGTTAGGAATTGTTAGTTTAGTTCCTATGTTACTATTTTGTCGTCCAAAACAGCAATATATCCCTCTTCATAATATTAGTAGATATAGATACGCACGCGTATCAAACCTCCTTGGAAGGTTTTGCTGAAGAAATATTAGTTTTTGTATATCATAGTTTATGCATTATGATAACAATGATTTTCGTGTCTATTATAGGATAAGAGCAAGTAGGTCGCGTTTTCACGAAATTCTCTTTAAACAAAGGACGATCCATTTTACATTGTTGCCATTTATATAATGATTTCATTAAAATTATTACATAAGTATCCCACGAGAGCGGATCTAATAGTCGTAGGAATTTCTCAGAGAGGTAATTGGCGATGTATTGAAAAAACTGGCTTTAATTGCTGAAGAAAAACTGAACTATGAGACAGCCTGTCAAAGCTATTGGATGAGGTGTTATAAAAGTTATAGATATATTCGCCTGATAACCGGCGGAAACTCCACTTTTTATATTTGCTCGCTATTTAATTGCAGACTTATTAGTTACTTAATATCTAAGCTAGTAAATCATATCACAAGAGCGGTTTATTTATAGCAATTGATTTAGGAAGCGTAATGAACGACGTCTATTTATTTTTTTAGTATTACTAAAGCTATATTAAATATAGAATACACATAAAAACGACGGTTCAAGTTCAAAAACAAATAAAAATATAAATTTCACTAAAAGGCATACAAGCCTTTGGAAATATATATTTTGAATGTAGATGAATACATATTTGATAAAAATTTTGTTTTTAACGATATGGTTTGGACCAATATAACCAAAAATGAAATACACAAAGAAAAATATAAATTTAATTTGAAATGATAGTTTAAATGTGGATGTTTTTTTTTGTACTGTATGGTTTATCTTAATGGACGAATCTTTATATTACAAATATATTAAAACATATTAGATAAATAAGGTGTTTATAGAAGAAAATACTTACAAGATTTAATACTAGCTTTTTTATTGTTTAATTAATAATCTAGACAATTTCAATTACAATTACATGTGTGGAGCAAAAACATTTCCCCTCGAGGAATAAATCGTTTACCAATTTATAAGACGCTTACTTAGTAGAAACACGTTTACAGAAAAAACTAGAAGACGTTAATTGATAATTGTATATTACGTTATTAATAGTTTCTTAACCGACTTCAGACAAAGAAGGATTTATATCCCCGATTACTTTAGATACCTTGATAGATTTAGGCCTAGGAGCGATTTGACTTTCGCTTTCAAAGTCGAACTGATATCTGATAACTGGAGTCGTTATGAAAATTTTTTTTTCACTGATTGTCGGGATTACATTTTTACAAGAGAATTTTGTATTAATATCATGGTATATCAGATAGAGCAGTGTTGGCCTAGAAGCTTCAGGTCTTTCTTTGCGCAATGGACTTTCTTTGCGTTCGAACGGTGAAGGAAAACAAATCCTAAAAAACCGACGGGGTGTGTCAGGCACAAGAGGCTGATTACCTATTAGATTAGAGAAATCTGAGGCCCAAACCTAAAAGGTTGTAGCGCCACTAGTGTAACGTTTTATATCACTTCATATATTTGACCTTTATATGCAGCGAAAATCAGTTATAGTAGCTATAATCTAGGTGTATACTTAAATATCCTTAGTGACATCCTAAAGACTTGCTTTGAGAAGTACCTACAAAATTTGACAATAGCATTTCTTCATAAAGCTTTTATAGGCGGTTAGACACAGAGATCGTATACAACAAAATATAAGTAATGCTACAAATGTATGGCCAATTCTTTTATTAATATTTTCTATTCTGATACGTAAATGAATTGGTTTACTTAGAATTCCGCTAGCGACCTTACCGTCGGTTCAAGGTGACGTTCACCGAAGCTTCGTAAGCTCAGCAGGATATCGCCATACTACTTGTTTTACTTGAGAACAAATATATTTTTTATTATTATTTGCAATAGTAACAACTTTACCGTGAGCTCCTTATGGTGTTTGACATTACAAAGTCTGTTTTAAAACTTCTAACAATCTCAAGTTGTTCTGACGAGAATAGAATCCTATATATTAACCACTCAGTAACGATAACTACACACAATTGCTATATTTGTATGACTCAAAACTTGGCGATTAAAAAGAGTGGCGGAAAGTTTCTTGCCATTTCTTCTTGCCCGTTCTACGACTTGCGATTTAGTAGTAAATGTAAATTTAAAATCAGTTTAACATCTTTTCTGTTGACGTTCATACTACGTACTTGGTTACCTATATGAATAAAGTTATTTTGAGTTTGAGTTAGATGCTATTTAGTTTCAAACCGCAAACACTACAATACTAAACTACTTGTTCTTGTTTCCCCCCAAGTAAAGCATCATAAAGAAGGCACGGAATCCTTAGAATTAACTAACATATTACCCAATAAATTTAAAACAAAGATAGCATCTAAATAAATTACTTAAAAACGTTGCATACAACAAAGACTTCGTCCGTGACCCGTTACTGAATCAATAGCTAGAGTATACAGTTGCAATCGTTTATTAAGGATTTAAAAGCGTTAGTTTCATCTGAATCTGCTTGTTTAGCACATGGTTACGAGGTCAGTCTCACAATGGAATGGGCCACATCCGGGCACAGCGCATTAACATAATATTGCTTCCACCAAGGAGTATTTTCACCTATGAATACCTATTTCGAAGTTAAATATCGTTTTTAATTGATATAATGATCATGTTCTTATTTTAAAA